AAAATGCGGCAGAAATGCAAGAATCAATTTTGTCATTTTGCATTATGTGGTAAATATGCAAAAAAAAACATATTTTTTCAATAAATTTTTAATTTTATAACACAAATTTTTTCATTATTTTTATGAACTTAAAATGATATATTCTAATTTATTATAAATTTTTTTTTAAGTCGAAGCTGAGAAATTAAGTATAAACTTAATGGTTAGTTTTGTGATACACCTGGCGAATGTAAATCAGTTNGGGCGGACGGGCTGTTTTTCGAGACCTGGTTTGAATATTTGAATCTTTATGTCATTTTTCAAAATGCGGCAGAAATGCAAGAATCAATTTTGTCATTTTGCATTATGTGGTAAATATGCAAAAAACCATATTTTTTTAAATAAATTTTTAATTTTATAAAACAAATTTTTTCATTATTTTTGTGAACTTAAAATGATATATTCTAATTTATTATAAATTTTTTTTTAAGTCGAAGCTGAGAAATTAAGTATAAACTTAATGGTTAGTTTTGTGATACACCTGGCGAATGTAAATCAGTTTTTTAAAGACTTTGGCGGAACAGAAACACGTTGTTTTTATTGCGCTTAAATTAGAATAATACGCAAAAGCGAAAATAAACCCCCAGAAACAACATAAAGAAGCTGCAATGATTTATGACATGAGCATCAATATTTATAATCGATATAAAATTCCCTTTCACTTAAAGATAAATACGTAAATCATTTTCAGTTCAGATTATTTTACTTCACCTTTGCATAAACACTGAGTATGACTGCTTATGTTTTAATCAAAGAGATATTCATTGTCTTCAATAGGCAGTATTATATTAAGAAATTCTGATAGAAAACTAAAGTATGATATTAAAAAACAGCGGTAGTTGCTGCATAAAATAAAAAATCAAACAGTGGTAGCTATATTATGATCAAACCTAATAAATTATTACAGATTTAGACAATTAAGCAGTTTTAAACATTTTCTCGTCAATTTTAAAATTTAATATACAGTACACTATATTGTGGGATAAATCCTTCTTGGTAAATTTTATTTTACTCACATTTGTAATTTAAAGTTTAAAGAAAAGTGAATTTATGTGAACCTAGAACATACCATGAAATTTCGAAGACTGAAATTATTTTTCCTTCAAATTATCAAAATGCGAACAAATTATGGCGAGATTATTTAGTATTACGCAGTGAGGAAATTATCCAGCCACAATTTGTTTGCATTTTAATATTTTACAGAAGAGGGTGAAACAGAATTTGTCATGAAAAGTTTCTCCCGAGGTATAGGGTCCCTTCCGAGGTATAGGGTCCTATGAATTGTAACAATCGTATGCGTGTACAAAATATAATAGCGAGATTACTTTATCCTTAGGTATTCCAAGATTTTTAAGTAGTTAAATAAAAACAGCGCAGTTTAGGATATAATCTGTTCAAAAAATAACTACAAAAGAAAAATTTATAGTTCAAGGAAATGTCTAGTCGATTCCATAAATGGTGATTTTTTAGATTATTTTCCAATTTTCAGTTTTATTTATAGTATATGTCATTTATATATATAAATGAATTCAAATTGTTATTATGACTAGCGTTTAAAAGCATGGTGTTTGTTATAATTTGTTATGAATAACACTTTTCAAACAATAATTATGTACAAGTCAATAAATTAATAAAATTCAAGCGCGTTCTCATTTCTGTTAAATACGGATTCATTAAATATAGTCATGGAATCTTTATCATTTATATAGATTTCATTACTTTATAAACTGGCTTCACGAATATGAAGAATTAATAGCAGCAAGTCTAGCATTAAGTGCTAATGTATGCTTTCATGCATTTTCGTAAAGGTTTTTCATGCATTGCATTTGAATAAAATTGAAAGTATCCAAGTTATTTCCGTAATTTCTGCTACTTTGTGTTTTTAATTTATTTTTAAGCACGTTTAAAATTGGCGCGTTTTAGAATAAAGAAGTTCCGCCTTATTTTCCACTTCCTTTTTGCTGGTATTTAAGAAAGGATATTTGATAGCAATTTCAATGTTGAAAAAACGAATTGCACGAGAGACGAAACTCAACATTTGAGAAAGGATTGAAGAAAACAGCTCGCGAATAAGGAAATTCAGTAAATGCATAAAATACTTGCATATAACTTAAAGTTGAAAGGTCATTGTAATTCCAGAAATAAAATCGTATTTCTGACTTTGTCACATTACTCATGAAATCTTTAAAATTCATTTCTATACATATCATAACTGAGTGTTTTTACTATATAGTTTTAGATCAAATGCAGAGAGTGTACATTTATTTCAGTAAATAATTTTTTTAAAATATTTACTGATGAAATCAGTATAATATTTTATTTGTCAAGTTGTTGCATTTGTTTGTAAAGTGTCCGTGATTTTATAAATGAATATGTAAATTAAAACGTAAAATTTATAATGAGGAGCTTATTTCTAACTTTAAATACAAACATTTTAAACATTTAGTTGTGCTAATTTCAATCTTCTGAGAATCAATTGCACCCTTTTGCAAACAGTTCCTTTTGTCACAAAAATTATTTTAAACTTTTTTAGATTCTCATTTTCATCGTCATAAACTTATAAACCATTGTTATTAACCATAATCGTTCAAATTTGCTGCAATCTAGATAAGTCGAAAAATTGAGCCACATTATGGAACAAGTTAATCATTTTTTGAACTTTATTACAGGATAGAATAGTTCATTTTAAAACCTTATTAAGAGTCCACTAAGTTAGCACGACAGTATAATTGTATGCAACGATTTCAACGATTAATCGATTTTTCCAATAATACAAATTGGTATACAAAATCTCAAAATAATAAATTTCAAAATTAATAACTTACAATCTATTTAAAATTTGTTTGCAAAAAAGACTAAAACTAATTTTCAGAAGATTTCAATTGATTTGCAGAAACAATAATGGTATAGTAGTAAAGTACAAAAGAGTGCGTGAGGAACTCTTATAAATAAATTCTATTTATGTGTTACTATACGTTTTTAATAATAAATTAAAGAAATAAACTATGCATGAGCTTGTTTATTGTAAATCGATCAAGTTTTCTAACTCGAAAACTTTGTTTTTAAGAAGAAGAAAAAAACTGTTAGCCAGAAGTAAGCTCAATTTAGATCACTCTGAACTGAGAGCTATCTTTTAGTTAAGTAAGGTCTGTGAGTTGGCTTTACTGCAAATCTCAAAGCTANTCGAAAACTTTGTTTTTAAGAAGAAGAAAAAAACTGTTAGCCAGAAGTAAGCTCAATTTAGATCACTCTGAACTGAGAGCTATCTTTTAGTCAAGTAAGGTGTGTGAGTTGGCTTTACTGCAAATCTCAAAGCTAAAATTTATTTTTGTTCAAGGAGGACACCCCCTGTTCTGCCTACTGGATTTTGGTCCGAATTTAGACTCATTTAATTTTAACTCTTAAAACGTGGGCGAGGGTCACACATAGAACGGACAAAGAAAAATCTGAAAACGATAAAATGATATAAATGGATGAGTATGGATAAAATTTCTGTAACTGCATTCTTTTTTAACAGTTTTCATAATTTGTCAGTTTTTCTACTTTATGTATTTGGTTGCAGTGCATGTTTGGGAAACATACTTTCTATAACTGTTTATTTTACAACGAATTTTTTGTTCACCAAAAAAATAAAGTAACAAAAATCGACTATTAAAAGTTATTAGATCAGCAGAATAAAATAATTACTATTTTAAAGAAAAAATTCTTTCCAGTTTAACTTTTATATTCAGCGTTCCGGTACTCAATTTTGTATTCAAACTGTAAGAAAATCATTTTCTTCTTTTAATATTTTTTCTTCTTCTTTCTGTTGAAATTACACTTACGATATAGTTGTAGGTAAATGTTTATTAGACGAATTATAACAAATAATAATCAGTATAAACTGATTAGTATAAATAAATATGCTGAATGTTTGTAAAAAAAATTTGTATTTTCCACCGTGTTCAATCACTTAAAAAATTAATGATGCAACTAAGCTTTAAGTTTTAAACACACAATATCCTTTTCCTATTTTACGAGATTTTTAAATAGAATAATCAATTTGAAGAATATATTCAGATATTTTAAAACCAATAATTACGAATCAGACTTGTATATTACCTGTTTGATCGATAAGAGTTAGTATAGAATTTGATTGTTATAATTTTTTCCTAAGATATTATATTGAAGATCGTCTTTAAAATGAAATCGAAGGCAAGCCATGTTTATTAATTTCACTATTGTAGATATGTTTAAAAAATTTTAATAGACAGACATCAGTTGTTTAATAAAATGCAAAATTTTTTAAATAATTTACTTAAGAAATATGTTTAATATAGTAGCAGTCTTGTACTCCGTTATATTTAAAAGAGTATAAATATAAAGTTGCGCATCAGTAAAAATATATAAATTTTATGAAATATAAGATGAGATTGTAAAGAAATGCTGCTTTATTAGCTCATGATTTTTTTTTTTTTTCGTATTCAGCTGTTGCAAAAAACTTCTCTTAACATATTAAAGTTTTTGTTAAGCTATAACTATAAAATTGCATACTAAAAAAAATTTTATTTTGTAGCAATTACTTTTTTGAACTTTTTTTAATCATTATATTTATTATTTGTGTTGCAGATTATTAGTTTCAGGTAACCACTCAAGCAAGAGTTGCATTTAATTTTTTTTCCCATTGCAATTTAGAGATAGTTAGTCAACTGTATAGAATAAATTCTCCTAACAATTTTTTATCAGTTGGATTGTTTTATAATTATTAACAATTATTTTCTTTAAGTACTTTTATTTATTCTTTGAGTTGTCTTTATTTGAGTTGCAGGTTTGTTTCATAGCTCAGATGACTACTGCAATTAAACCTGCTCTCAAATTCAATTGCTTTTTAGTGCAATGAATAAATTTCTCAATTCGTTGTTCCAAATAAATCCTCATTTAAATTTCTGAATTTAATTAATAGTTAAAAATCATTAACTTACCTTGCTATTTGGTCCCGGCAAAATCCTATGCAGCACAGCAGAAGAAAAAAAAATGAATAAAAACAGAAGAAAAAAAATAATTTAAAAAAATAATCGAAACAAAAGTTTTTTCGTTATCGGCGAGTTTTATATTTCTTTATTATTAATCAACGCCGAACCATAACGACGTACAAAGCACACGAAACACACAAAACACAGAAATCGCAGCGCCCGTTCCTCCGGTTGCTCACTGCGAGGTCTGGAACCAAAGGGAACACACGAGGCTGCTATATCGAGCGAACGTCCCGCCCTCTATCGGGATTCGTAACAAACAGCAGAGTTTTGATTGTGCCTTAATTTCTTTTCTTCACTCAAGGACTTATTCTCATCCCAAAACGGAAAGGCATCGGGGATAGAACTCATTAGTAGCGAGTGTGACGTAGGAAGGCGAGGGCACGATTTAAAAATACAAAAAGTTTTGCTGACCAAAATTTTAAATAGAATTCTTCGTGACAATGGTAATGTCGACAGGGAGCGTCGTTAGGGCAGGATTTGTGTCCCTGGTAGAAGACACCCCTTCATTCCTGATAGATACTACAAGTTCTGAAATAGAAAATTTTTTTTCTTTCTTTTTTTTTCCCCTATCCCTTTTAACAATAAGAGTGAGGCCCAATTTTTGCCTGTAAGAATGTCTTTTTAAATTAGTGGCAGATTCTATTGTCAAAACGAGTTGGAAGTTACTTTAACACTCAGGCAGATGCATTCAAACTAATAGAGGCTACATAGATCTTAATAAAATACTACATTAGTAGAGAATAATGTATAACACAGGCATAAGCATATCAGGTATCTAGATTTTGAGGGGGACTAAATTAAAATATAATGTTTGACCAGTTCTATAAATTTTCAGACATAAAGAAGAAAAAAAAACTCTTCCATCTGTTAAATAATTGCTAAAAGATTTTTATTTTCTTTAAATTCTCAATTCTTTCTTCTTTTGCTTTTAGTCTAACATAATTTTAATCGATGAAGATTCATGAAATTTTTTTTCATTTGTCAGAAATATTGAGGGGACTTTTAGAGATTTTTAATTATTGAGAGGAACATACACACGCCAACAATGCGTATAACAGGTCTGCTACTTATTCGGAAAAAAAAAGGAAAAAAACTGACTGTCAGTGGTTATCAATATTTATTTAAAAATATGATGTGCACAAAAAATTCAAGTAAGTATTTATTACACAATAATTAAGAAAAGAATAGGTAGCCACTAAGAGTTACTTCCTATTAAAATTCTTACTATAATTCCTACTTAAATTCCTCGTATTTTTTTAAAGCAGCTCTGATATCAATTACTCAATCTGTTATACAGCTGTTATTACTCTTAAACAAGCAAGGAGTATATGGGTCATTCTCACAAAAAAGTGATTTTTTAAGTCCCTGAGTAATAAATATTAGGAAATACAGCAGATTTCTTAATATTTTTCTTTATCATTTTTCGTGAAGTTCTTCATTAACAAATCATATGCATTTCCGCTAAATGTATTTCATATTTCATTCTTATTTTTTAATAAACATGACTTCAAAATCCCCTCCGTGGACGTCCCTACGTCTGTGGCACAAAATAATTTTTAATGCCTGGGTAACAATTTAAATGTTATTTTAATGATTTTTGTAGTTTTACCTAGTTAAATGCTTATAGTAACTTTTCTTTTAATATTTTTTTTAAAAAAATTTATTTTTGTAAAATAAATGACTAGTAAACTTTGTCCATCAAAAATGATGTCTCCCTCCGTGGACAATTAATAAAGTTCTGTAAATATGCAATAAAGGGCAGCATATGCGAAATCCCTATAAGACAGCTGCTGGGAGGGGTAACCATTCCATTTTCTAATGTTAAATATCAGTTGTTTTTGTTCTCTTTGGTGTCAGTTTTGGATTGTTGTGTTCAACTGGGGTTTGGCAAAGTTCTCACCGTATACTCCGTGGACATCGTAAAGAAGGTAAGAGAAAATTATTTTATTTTTGATAGATGAATTTCAGATTGCAAAAATAGTATATTTAACAAAAAGAACTGCCCCATTTTTCTAACTTTAAAATTAAAAATCAGAAAAATTCAAGAACTAGTTTTTGTCTCCTCCGTGGAC